TTATATAGACAAAGTCATTTTCTATTACCTCTTTCAGTTCAATCCAATTTCTGGCCGTATAGAGTATGGTGGTATCATCAGCAAAACTTAAAACTTTACCCTTAGTTTTCACCCTAAACAGGTTATTTATATATAATATAAATAAGAGTGGACCCAATATTGTGCCCTGTGGAACACCGTAGTTAGGTGTGAGTGGATCACTTATGTATTTATCAATTTTTACATGTTGTTTTCTGTTCTCAAGGTAACTAGTTAAGAGATTTAGAAGTGGGCCGCGAATACCAAGATCCCAGAGTACTGATATTAATTTTTGGTGACAAACAGTGTCGAAGGCTTTAGCAAGATCCAGAAAAATACAAATAGCCGTTTTACCCTCGTCTACAGCTTTGTAAATATTTTCCATTAGGTGAACAATCGCGTCTTGAGTCGACTTTCCTTTTTGAAAGCCATATTGCTTCTCAGATATTATGTTGAATTTTTTTATAAAACTTTCTAGTCTATTTTTTATAAGTATTTCAAAGATTTTTGCCAAGTTTGAGATAAGTGATATTGGTCTGAAGTTCACTGGATCTTGCTTATTTCCTTTTTTAAAAATTGGTACTACTACTGACGTCTTAAATAGAGTTGGACATATACCCGATTTAAATATTTTATTAATTATTATTGACTGGCTATGGTATGTATGTTTTTTATTGTACTTGTTTGAATGCCGTCTATACCCACAGAGTTTTTATTTTTTAGTTTAATTATAACAGACTTAATTTCTGTAGGGGTGGTCGGCTTTAAAAACAAGGAATTTGTTAATTTTAGTTTATTTTCTTTAAAACTTTTGTTTAATTTAATTTTTTTAGCCAGTTTGTCTCCCGTCTCAACATAGTGCTTGTTAAAAATGTTGCACATTATTTTTTGGTCAGTGTATAACATATTATTTACTTTTATATATTTCAGTTATTTCATTTGTGTTAACCTTTGCTTTTTTTAACTTGTTTATAGTTTCCCACATTTCTTTATTGCTGCCACTGTTTTGAATTTTAATTCTAAAATAATTTCGTTTAGCTTGTACAATTTTATTATTTAGTTTATTTCTATAAAGATTATATTCCTTTTTTATGTCTTCATTATTTGTTAAGTAATATGTATTCAATAGATTATCACGGTGTTTTATCGAGTTCATAATTTCATTAGTAATCCACGGGTTTCTTTTTATGTTTTTTTGCTTAATCTTTTTAAAAATAGTATTTGAGTCAATTTTTTCCTTTAATATGTTGAGGAAATTATTAGTTGCACATTCAACCTCGTTTTGCAAACAGTTTTCCCAATTTACCAAATTTAAATCCCGATTTAAGGTTTTATAATTTATTTGTCTAATATGTTGGGTTTTTTTCTCATTTTTGGTTTTGTTTTTAAAAACAATTTGTACAGCTTCTGGAAAATGGTCTGTAATGTTAGTTTTTACTATAATCGGTAAAATATATTGTTCAATTTCGTTTTCATTTAGCCACTTAATAAAAATATGATCGATACATGAACCTTCTGCATCTTTATTTTCTCTTGTTACGTTATTTATTATAATATACTATATAGTATACTGATTTATATTGATGCTCGCTTAAGATATTTAAGTATTCACATGCCAAACCAACCGGGTTTAGTATATTAATGTTTAGGTCACCTGTGAATATAGAGATATCACACTTGGAGGTATTCTTCGTTAAATAAGTGTCTAGATCGTTTAAAAATTCCGGCAATAAAACATTATGCAGTCTATATACTCCCACTATTCTAATCCAAGTTTCATTAAAAAGCAAATCCAAGTCTATCACCTTACATTCATTAATTAAATTTATTCTATAATTGTTCCTTATATCCTTACGAATAAATATAAGAACCCCATCATTTTGATTAAATTTCCCCCCACTGTAAATTACTTCATATCCCTGCAAAATAACAAAATCTGCATTGACCTGTCTTGTCTCTGTCAGGACAATACAGTCAAACCCTCCTGTAAATTGTTCCAAGAATATTTCTAGCTCAGTAAGATTCTTGCTAACACTTCTTATGTTTAGTTGTAGCATTTTAAAATTTACAAATTTACCATTTACCTCAAAGACCTCATTGCACTGCGATGCATCTTCAACTACTTCAGTTCTTATAAATGTTATTTACTTGAAAATCTCTTATAAAAGGATCCATAGCACTTTATCCTATATATCCACACTAAAAGGAGCCCAAGTAGGTATGTACTTAAAATAAAATATAAATAATTTACCAACTTTACTTAAACAAACAGAAATAAAGATTATTTAATTTAAACTATTAAAATATAAAAGTGATTTAATATACAAGTACAATTAAAAATAAATAAATAAATTCTTCCAGAGTAAAAAACAAATACATTAAAATTTTCAATTAGAAAAACAAATACTTACAAATACTTTAATTACAATTTAAAAAGAATTTAAAAATTATTATTATTATCACAGATTTTTAATTGACCTTTGATTGACTTTCTGACTGCGTTGTGGATCTGGTTGTTTTGCGAAACGCTGACTCAATTTTCTTATTTTCTTCAGTAAGCTTTGGTTTTTTAATTACGATTGTTTTTGTAAATTTATCCTCTTCTTCTAATGATAGGTTTAGTTCTTTCAGCAACCTTTTTTGCCTTGAGGTTGGATCAGGCGTTGCCGGAGCACTTGTCTGTTTCTGTGGAGACTCTTCTTCTGCGTTGCTCGCAGGAACTAATTCGTCCTGTTCTTTTTTTTCCAGTTCTTGGACTGAGTATATGTCCTCTCCAATAATAAGTTTATTTCCTTTTATCTTTGCGTTGAGTCCTTTTTTAGTTGCTTCTTTTTTATGTTTATTAAGAGTTTTATTTATTTTTTGATCTTGGATATAAATAATTATAATTTAACGATAATTATTATTATAATAATTATAATTCAACAATATTATTAAATATTTAAGTATACCTACGTCATTATTTAAGAATATTGTTAAGTTTAAGTATCGTCTAGGTATTTTAAATCAAATTTGCCTATAATTATAAATTTAGACAATATTTTTAAATAATGACTTATAATTAATTTAATAATAATTATTATTATAATAATGTTTATTGTAATAATTATAATTCAACAATATTATTAAATATTTAAGTATACCCACGTCATTATTTAAAAATATAGGTTAAGTTTAGGTAAAGTGTAGGTATTTTAAATCAAATTTGCCTATAAATATAAATTTAGAAATTGGCAACACCGCAGGGCTTCTGATACACAGCGGAGTGTGTCTCTTGTTGTTTATGCATCAACGAACAGTTAACCGCCCCGTCCCGCATTACCGGGCTTCGACTAGCCAGTGTAATGCACCAGGCTTCGCATTGATAGCCGTGCATGTATATATATATATATATATATATATATACAAAATTATATATTATTTATACTATTGATATTAATTTATAACGCAACCCATCGAAAGTTTATTATTTTAATACCTACATATGTATATTACTTAGCGCCCGAACTCGCCTGTTTGCGTATAATATTGATGGTTATTAAATTTTTGAATAAATAAGTGAGGCAACACCGCAGGGCTTCGGATACTTAGCGATATGTGTTTCTTGCAGTACATGCACCACAGAAATTATAACCGCCCCCTCCCGACCGGGCTTCGACTAGTCAGGGTTATGCAACGGGCTTCGTATTTGGACATTTTAAATAAAAATCCATTGGATGTCTTAAATCTACTCATTAATTTATTCAGTATTTGTTTAACAAAGTGGACATTAGGGTGAGCCAAAAAAACTAACCTATCGGATTTATGGGTTAAAATGAACCTACATACTGAGCAAAAAATTTCCCTGCAAGGCAAAATTTTTTGCTCAATTTTAAAAGGTGTCGGTGAGCATTCTAAGTTTTCCATTGAAATAACACGTAAAAAAATCTTTTTTCATTAAAAAGACTATAACTTTTGAACAGTTTGAGATAAAATTTTTTACGTCACGGATTCTTGTAGAGCATAAAATTTCCCAAAGAATCTATACCAGGATTATTTTTTTTAATTCAAAAATTCGTATGTTTGAAAGCTTTGAAAAGTGTAAAAAATCACTAAAACTGCAGGTTTAGTGATACCTATTTTACACTTTTCAAAGCTTTCAAACATACGAATTTTTGAATTAAAAAAATAATCCTGGTATAGATTCTTTGGGAAATTTTATGCTCTACAAGAATCCGCGACGTAAAAAATTTTATCTCAAACGGTTCAAAAGTTATAGTCTTTTTAATGAAAAAAGATTTTTTTACGTGTTATTTCAATGGAAAACTTAGAATGCTCACCGACACCTTTTAAAATTGAGCAAAAAATTTTGCCTCGCAGGGAAATTTTTTGCTCGGTATGTAGGTTCATTTTAACCCATAAATCCGATAGGTTAGTTTTTTTGGATCACCCTAGTGGACATAAATTTATTTTTTATAAATGTGGAAACTTCCTTTCTTTCAATCTATATATAGAATTAGGATTATTTGGTTGCAGAATCGACCTATTCTGTGTAAAAACTGGATAAGAAAATTATCTTTGATTTTTGATTTTTTTGCATTTTTTAAATTTATTATGTAGGATTTTAATTTTACGCGACTTTAAGAATAACAAATTTTTAAATATTTAAAAATTATTAACCACTTTTATTCCTAAAGGCCAACAACACTAACCAAAATTAATTGTTATAAAACTAAAACACATTTTAAATAGAATCAATTTATTTCAAATAATCATAATTTTATCACAATATCATATATACAAAATTTACAAAGTTTTTAATAAAAATATACAATTTACAATATTATTTAAATATATGTGGCTAAGAAGTTAAATGATTATTGCCAAATTCTGTCCAACCAATCAACAATATTATTTTATTTATTACAAAACCCTTTCATGATATGAGTATGCATTGAATAAGCATACATTTAAAAAAATATATAATATTTGGCCAAATTAAATTAATACATTAAATTCATATAAGGAAAATTAGAAGTTGACCAGGCTTCGTACGGTAACATTACAGGAACTGCATACATTCCTCGAGTTGGATAATGCGTCTTTAAATGTTTTTTTAAATGATCTTTTCTACCAAATCTTTTACCACATTGTGTGCAAGAAAATGGCCTCAATCCACTGTGTATTCTTTTATGCCTGGTTAATTCCTCATTTCTAGTAAATGTTTTTCCACAATTTTCCTCCTCGCATTTAAAAGGCCTTTCTCCTTAAAAAAATAATAATATTATTTGGTTTACAGGTATAGGTATTTATTTTATACAACTAAATACAAACATTTATATACAGGGTGCACCCTTCTATGTATGGGTATAGAATACTAGATTTGGAGTTACCACCACCACCTTTTGTTTTACCTATTGGAATTTTACATAGTAAACTAGAAAAAAAAATCAAGGAATCCAACAACGTATTAAACTTTATAAGTTATGGCGGCCATTATAAAAATAAAAGATGGTGATGGTAACTAAAAATAAAGTTGGATAAAAATGTAGATAAATGTGTATGTTTACATACAGTGTGTAATAAAACGAATAGATACAATTGAATAAAACGAGTGTCAAACTTATATAAACCCCGCACACTGTGGCGGGGATTGATATTTTGCTTGCAGTATAAATTATACGGCAAGCAAAATATCAATCCCCGCCAGCGTTGCCAGACCATGAAAAAATTATGTACTGACTTAAAATGAAAATCGTACTGATTTGACTTAGGTACTGTTTAAAAAATCAGTGGGATTTTGTTAAAATTTTGGTTATTTTTCTTGTATCTATTTAATGTTAGTACTCGTACTCATCATGACATTTTTTAGTTTATGATTTAAGAATTCAAAATAATAAGTAGTTTTTTTTAATATATCGCACATGGGCGACAACAGTGTCATAAGTAGTAAAACGATAATTCCGATATAAGTTAACGTAAAAGATTTTTGAATAATAAAATTCTGACATTTTTGTAAAATTATATTAACTAACACTGTAAGTTAATATAATTTTACAAAAATGTAAGAATTTTATTATTCATATATCGGAATTATCGTTTTACTACTTATGACACTGTTGTCGCCCATGTGCGATATGTATATTTTGGATTTTTTTCTTTGTCATATGTTTAAGTTTTAACTTTTTTTGGTTGGGAAGGAAATTTTGCAAAATGTACTGACACTATGAAAGTAGCACTGTCGTACTGACAGACCTTAACAAGTACTGATTTCAGTACAAAAGCACTGGCAACGCTGATCCCTGCCACAGAGCGCGGTATAATTGTCGTTTGATCTGCGCGTCAGTCTGAGAAGTGCACTGAGACTTTGCGTACGGCTTTGTAAGAATAATCTCGATGAGTGCAAATCTTTAATACAATGGGAGATATTAGTCCTGAGATGCTGTTTAATGTGCGCAGGAATTTTTATGATAGGCTAGGATATTGTTAAACTGCTGCTAGTGGCATATTTGAACATTTAATTTAAAATTTGAACATTTAAAATTATTTTCATTATTTGATAATTATTTTTATTTTAGAATTAATAGTTTTTATTTTTAAGTAATTCGTTTCTTTGCTTTAATGCACTTCTGCAAAAAATGTGTATTGTTTGAAATTTATTTCTTAAAAACTATAAACATTTCCCTACGACAGCGTCGAAGTCACTGTGCAAACTACTGCATGCCGCGCTGTTACCATATGCTATTTTTGTTTCCTAAAAGGGTTGTTTTCCTTACTATTTAATATAAAAAGAAAGAAAATTAACTAAATTAACTTATTTTAGTTATTTTTAAGTATTTAAACAAATAAAACTTATCGTATTTTTTAAATTATTATAATTGTTCTGTCCAGATCTGGCAATTATGCTTCGAAATTACGAAACACGCCTATTTATAGTCTGTTTATTTTCCTCTGATAAAAAAGCCAGTGGTTCTTAAAATATTTAGAAAAAACTAAAAACCAAAAATCGTTATAATTTCGTTATTTCATGTAATTTTAAAATACTACATTTTATTCAGACTGTATAGAATTAAGTAAGTCTGAAGACAAGAAGTTTTAATAATTCTCTTTTGAGAAAGAAATACCTCTTAGCAGAAGAGCCCCAGAAGCATATTGCATATGATACTCTATAAAATATCTCTGCGTAATAAAAGCATTTTAGTTGTTCGATGTTTAAAAGTGCTTTAAGATTTTAGGAATTTGATAACATACTTTATTTAATGTAGTGGATAATTTTGCGAAGTGTTCATTTCATTGCAGGGTATCCTGGAAATAAATTCCAAGGAATTTAACAGTTTTTTGTGAACTGACTTTGCTTTTTTTAAAGTTGAGTGCATATTTCAGCGAAAATTTAATTTCCGTCACTAGTCAGAGAAAATCCATAAAGTTGCCACTAGTAAAACCCCCATAATCTTAAATAATGTTCATTATAACAATGAGTCAATATTTAAATCATAATTTCGTAATTTAATAATGATCAAAAAACATTTGTCAACCAGGTTAACTTCAGAAAATACACAGCGTTGCCGAGTTTATTAAACTTTGGTACTTATTAATCACATCAGATCCATTTATATCGAGCATTGGAAAGCATTGTTAAAGCAAAGTAAAAGTTTTTCATTCGAGGCTAGGGCTCTCTTTTTTGCAGTGATGTTTTTCCTATTGATGATTTGGATAACGATGACAATTAACTTTTTATACTATTTACATTAATTTTCTTTACTTTACTTCTTTAATAAATAATTGTTGCAAAAAAAAGTTAAAAACCTATCTTATATCCTGTCGATGTATCACAAATAAGTAATCGTTACGAAATTAAATCTTGTTAACGATAAATGGCACCTTTCTTAATTTTGCAAATTTAACTTTAAATTCGTTTTCAGCGACCTTAAAAACTAAAGGACAGTAAGTTTCGCGTCAAACAACACCTTTTCCAATATTCAATGACCATTTTGTGTCCGCCATTTTAAATTTTGGAAATTTTTCTTAAAATTTGTATTCCGCGAACCCAAAAACTTGAGTTAAATATTAAGCTCTTGGCAGAGCTTTGGCCAGGTTTTTAGCGATTTCGCCAACTGTGCGCCGCGATGCCTCGCCTATAGTGTTCACTTGTTAAAAAAGTATAAATTTTGTCACTCGTTGCACAATGTACCATTTTTTTAAATTATTAAAATGTGCAAGCGTTATTTTCTGAACGACCTCTAAATAACATGACTATGTTTAACATTAAAATAAATTTTTGTGATGATTTAATAAAATTAAATTACCTGTATGGATTCTTATGTGTCCCTTTAGCTGTCCGTTATTTGAAAATCCAACATCGCAATGAGGGCATTTATATTTCTTTGGCCGTTGCTTTCTGGACTGAATTATTTTTGATTGATGTTCTTGGTTTACTATTCTTGCATACTCTTCTAATGCGTATCCGTTTGAAAGCGATTCCAAAAATAAACTGTCACCTTGGGATAATCCCAGATATTGAGCAATATTTGATGTATAATGATCTGAATGAATCGAAAATGGTATATTTAAATCTGGTATGCTACTGGGGTGAACTTGCAATCCTATTTTATCACTAGATATTTGTTGATCACTTATTTGTTGGGCACTTATTTGTTGAATATCACTGCATTTGCTGTTTTCTTCTTGTTTTGTGGTTTCATTTTTAATTTTATATTCTTCCGATGCTTGATGCGATGAGTTAGTACTGGTTTTGGATTCTTGGGAATTTTCAGAACAGTCCCATGGTCGAAATATCTTAGAGCATTTCCACTCTGCTTGGTGTTTAATATGGGAAATATCAAACATTTTTAGGGCATTTAAGTCAACAAGGCACTTGAACTATTGAATGAAATACTGACTACTGTTTATGGGAGTATCGTGGTCGAAAATTTCAAAAAGGGGCTGGACCTAAAGTTAGAGGGGACAATACAATAGTAAAGAAACACCCCATTCAATTGTTACACTAGCCAATTTTTAAACGAATTTGGGCCTTATAGAATAAAAATGTTTATAATTTATAACTTATATTTAAGTAAACAAATAATAATTAAAAATATAGAATTTAATATTGTATACTTTTGTATACATTTTATACTCATTTAACTCGTTTTTTTATCTATCCGTCAAATTTGAGTAGTCATCCATCAACATTTGTCAATATAATATTTTTAAAACCACCAAGCCATTGTTGCTGCCTTATTGTTATCATTTGAAATTAATAATCCAACGTTAGAGAAACAGTTTTAAAAAGTAAACATTGTTAAATGTGCGAAATTGAAATATGTTTTGCTTAAAATTTATTGCTAATTTAGTTCTGCATGCGATTGAAAATTATTTGCTTTCCATAAAACTGAGAAAATTCAAAGAATGCTTTCTTTTGATTTGGTGACCATAGAATAAATAAAAATCCATTTATAAGAATAACGTATAAAGGCAACTAATACGTATTCGTGGCAGTAAATTGAGGCAGTGGATTGCAGAAAGGACGCTGGCGCATGTTTTTTATAGAAATACGATGCCTGTTCCAATAATGTAAAATAAAAATTCTTAAAAAATTTAATTAAAAAAATTGTGCTTATAGAAGAAGATAAAGCACAATTTTTTGCAACTTCGATTTTTTGGAAATAACTTTGTTTGATATTTTGCTAACGCAAAAAAAAAATTAACGGTAAACAATAATAAAGTGATCATGATTTAGCATTGTAAATCGAAAATTTTTATGAAAATGTGTACTTGTAAACTATGTAATATTTATTACAGTTCAACGGATAACCAATTAATTGCTAAGGCCACAATTCCTAGCACAAAAAAATTATTTTTTTTTAAAAACCTTCTCAAAAGCCTACTAAACACCTTTTACGAAGTTTTTTCAACTCGAAACTTTGCTCCTAATTTTTACTAAAAAGGTTTTTAGTTAATCAATCAACGCAAATTTATGCTGTCATCACCTTAGTCCGTTAAATTAATTAAAATATACAACATTTTGGATTTTAAGTGCGAGCATTAGGGTGGTAAGCTTAGACACGTATGTGAAATTTCATTGTCGTTCGAAGCATATTTGTAATAGAAATCCCGAGTTTATTATAAAAATATTTGACATACGTACCACGAAAAAATCATGTTTTTTCTATTTATTTAAAAAAAACAAAAAAGTCGCAGAAAAAAAGAATAAAAAGAGAAGATGCGCCTTAAAAGTTTACACTACATAAACTGCCTTAATTAGCACTACATAAACTGCCTTAATTAGCACTACATTTTAGCTTTTTTTACAATTTCGTCCATTTGACTTTGGAAAACCACTAATTAAAGCTTAATTGTTAATAAATGGACCCAAATTTATTATGGTAACACTGTCATTATATCTTCAATACAATTCTACAAGTCTAAAATGTAATCTATCTGTTTTTATAATTTTAACTTTATTTTGTAGTTTTTTTTTCAATTTTGCTTGATTTGTAAATTTAAATTTGAATTTTTGCATTTTAAGAGTAGCAGTTGTGGAAAGAAATTAATATATTTACAAAAAATAATAAAAAATAAATTAAACATTAATTCAATACCCAAAAATGTCCGTTTTTTTATTAAAAAACAACTGTACAGTAATTTTCTCTGAAACGACATAGGTACGACATAGATTTTTGATTTACTAACTAAATTTTGGTTGTTTTATTTTGTACTAAAAAATGTGCACACATTTTTAAATGTATTTAAAATGAATTTGAATTTGAAAAACTGTATCAAAACAAACAAATACTTTTATTTAAACCAAAAGTTTTAGACAAATATTAGAAATATTCCCCAAAACGAAACACAAAGTACTGTCTGTCCACTCTAAGTTGGCGGAACTAAGGAATTTTGTAGTTTAGATATTAAAGAATTGTCGTACTGGGTGCTTTTAAAACAGATTTTATATTATAAATAATACTAGTATATAATATATACTAGTATTATTATTAATATAAAATCTGTTTTAAAAGCACACAGTACGACAATTCTTTAATATCTAAACAACAAAATTCCTTAGTTCCGCCAACTTAGAGTGGACAGACAGTACTCAAAGTTCTTTTCGCCAACGACGTTGGCATCTTCAAAAGCGAAGTGTAACTTTAGTCGACATATGATTTTTGGTAATTTTTGGAGACCCAAAATTAAATTTAAAATATATTTCTTTTGTATGAAACGATGCGCTTCCGAAACAGGCGTGTATTCTAATATGCGCGTGACTTCACATTTCAGTAAGCACAAATCCATTACAACGCTTTTGGTACACATTATAATGTGTACCTACTATAGTCTGTAGCACACCTTACAAACGAATGTAATACATCATTTAAGCATATAAGCACAACTTTTACAAAGACACGTGTTTATAGTGTTACATTTAACAAACTATCCTCAAAATTGCCAATAGTCATGACTGCAGTTTTCATTGACAGAACTCGAGTTATAAATTATTACATTTTTTAAAGATTGAAATTAAATTAAATAGGGGATAGTAAATACATAGAAAAAGGATAGTAAATAGTTTTGATTATCTCAGTATTTGGCTCTAAATATAGAACGTAATATAAAGTGACCTCATGACCAAGGACCATTTGTTTGGGACCTTGAAATTAATCCTAAACGAGATTTTGATTTATTGTCCTAAAAGGACATTTTTATGAGCCTAAAATAGGCTCTTTTGGCTATTACGAGGACCACAAACCACAAAACGAGTGAAAACCTAATAAAAAAAGTAATTGTGTTTTTGCTATCTAAATATTTTTTATATAGATAATTATGGATACCTAATATTAAGTTTGTTAAATAATGGTTGAAAATTATTATTTACTTTGTTTTCATAAGTTGAGGGCTATTTTAGGCACTTTCGGCCTAAAACGGCCTAACATGTAGGTTTTTATTGCCCATTTATGCGTCCTAATTTCCAATTTTTAAGGGCCTAAAATCCGGTCTTGCTTGCTTGCTCATGACTGTTTGACGGCAGAATGCAAATTTAAATAAATTTTAATCCTTTATTACGAAGTAAATTTAACAAAATGTTATTGTAATTAAGTTATCTTTAACGTAAGTTTATATTTTTATTTTAAAAAAGTACTTTTTTGTCAATGCAAGCCCCCAATTTGTGATATAAATTTTAAATAGCATACGAAACACAAATATAAGATAATAACAATTAACAATGTATTGTATAAAGATAAAATTTAAAACATCTAGTGCAAAATCAGTTTTTGACAAAAGATGCATTTAGATGCATTCAATTCCATATGTCATTTATGATTGATTGCTATAAAATTCCATTATTTTGGAAAAGATAAAATGATGGATTAGAATAACATTTTTTTATAGAAATTTTAATTCCACACAATCATTTAATTACCATGTTTTGTGAACCTTGAAATGCAATCTGTGATTTTAACTAAATATAGGTATTACAATAAAGTCGAGGTTAGTTTTTTGAACACTATTTAATGCATTAACCACATTTCGTAGGTAAGCAAAAAAGTGACAAATCTCTAAATTTTCCAGGAGAACGATGTTAAATTTAATTTTCAAGACGAAAGGCTTAGCCAGGTACGGGCAGGGGGGCAGCCGCCCCCCCCTAGCAGGTGGTGATCGATCCTATTTTCGCAGACAATAATTCTAAAGACAAATATTGTCAGCAATAATTTATCTTAACTTACTTTTTTATATAGGTATAACATTACTCAGGCCATAATTTCTTTGGTTAAAATGACTCGAGGGAGGAATGTATCCGTGTACTTTATTTTTCGTACTAATTTAGCCCTGATGAATAAGATATTCGACTCGAGCTTTGTTCAGTTTAACGGATATTTTAAAAAGCATAATAAATGGAATATGATAAAATGTTAATAACCTACCAATGTTTAAAATGTGTATAGTCGCATGCGACTACATACATTTTATTTTATTACATTCTCTATGCTTTTACATCTCATTATTTTTCGTTAAGGTTAAATGCATGGATCTTTCTTCCACTTCTTACAATGTGTGCGACTTAAAATGGATTGTAGGCTACCTATGCCAATAATGGTTGATTTTGCATTAATTTAAAAATGCTTTGTGCCTTATAGCATTTGTTCCAGAGAAAAATGTTGCTGCTGATGATATTCTGAAGTCAAAGGTTTTTAATGATCATGGCAATTAGTTAAATTATTTTGAAAGTACCTGGGTTGGTGGATTAAATTTTAATTTAATAATGGGGAGTTCTGATGAGTATATTTTGTTTGGAGTTATTCTTGCTTTGAGAATTTTTTTTATCGGAACAATGTTTGTGTGAAAATGTTTTGTCTTAACACAGTATTAAAAAAAATACTAAAAGCCCTAGTAGGGTGTGTGGGTAAGCACTTGGTCGAAGTAGGTGAAGTCTTGAAACGGTTTTGTGTAAAATCTCAAAAATTACATATTTTTTTAAATGTTTTGTTAGCAATGCCACTGTATCATGCATAATATTAGTTTTATCTTGCCTGTACATACTCGCAAAATACACGAAAGGATATCGCTTACAAGTTGTAAGCGATATACTTTCGTGTATTTTATGAGTACAAGGTACTTTGAATGAGGGATTCCTAAAGGGTATTAGAGCTTTTTAGTCACAAAATTTTAAAATTGGCAGTTACTTTTTTGTTATCTATGTACTATGATCTACACATCAAAGCCCTAAAACGTGACTTATAGAAATATTTAAGGTTAATTTTCTGTTAGTCAAGCTAAGTTCGTCCTATTTTCTAAAAATAATGCAAAACATGTATTTTTTGTGCCTAAAGTTCTTAATTTAGAACACAAAA